ATGCAGGGATATTTACAAATATAATATTAGTCTTTGTTTATACCTTAAATTAAAATTTATTATAATATTGATCAAAACGATGTATCAAAATAATGTATCAAAAAATGATGTATCAAAACGATGTATCATAATGATGTATCGAAGTAATGTATCAAAGAGATATACAGTAATAAATTAAATAGTGTAATTGTTCGTTATGATATTTGTTTAATTAATTACAAAGGCAACTTTGTAATATAGATTTATTATAAAAATATTATTTTTTTTCTTTTTTTTTTTGATTCCAAAAATTAAATGTTAAAAATTAAAATGGGACGCCTATCTAAAACTCGTAAACATTGTAAAAAAGCACGTCTCACCAAAAATTCCAAACCTTATAATCTATCATCCCCAATTGATCAATCTAATCGATACCAAATTTCTACATGTAATTTTTATATTTATCGACGTAGAAATTTTCAACCAGTTACGATTGAAAACAATTCAATCGATCTAAATAAATCTGAAAATTTAGTTAATCAACAACAAACATCAACTTCGCAATCAGCCATCTTGAAAGTAGACAAAATAAAAAAAAGACCTAGTAACAAAACTTAACTACTTATCAAAAAAGGAATTAATAACTTGCTCTCAGTTATTTAATAATATGATATATAAAGATAGACCAAATAAAGAAAAAATCTTATCTCCGTATTTACAAGAAAAAGCCACAGAGTTGTTATTCGCAAGTCATAAAAAATCTAGTTTCAATTTTCAAGAAAAACCTAAACTATTAAAAGCTGAAAATTCAAAATTAAAAAAAAAAATACTTAGATTAACTTATAGAACAAAATCGTTAATGATTAAACTCAACCATTTTAAAAGATCTAAAAGTAAATATACTTCCAAAATTAGATCGTCTATTAGAAAAAAAAAGAAAAATATCAGATAAAAATATTGAAAAAGCTATAATTAAAAAAATTAAACAAAATAATCGTGAATATACACCTGAGTTCATTTCTATGGCTACGAATTTAAGTACTTTTGGTCATACTTCAATATCATCAATGATACAATGCACAAAAGAAATTATAACATTTCTTACTGGTCGGCCTTCTAAGTCATGCTTATCTTCAAGTACTTTATCACAATAGACAAAAGAAGTAGCAGAAATTTCTATACAAGATAATATACCACAATTTTTAAATCGATTTAGCTCATATGGAATTTTAGCAGACAAAAGTACTAGAGGAAAAAAAAAAAAATTTTTAGTATGTATATCTTACTGGAATGAAAACAAACAAGAACCTATGCTTACTATCCTTAATATGAAAGATTTGGATCGTTGTTCAGCATCCACAGTATCTTTAAGCGTTGAAGAAGCTATTAGTAAAAATTTATTAAATCCAGCACAATGTCAATATTGGCTTACTGATAATACAGCTTATATGTCAAGATCAACTGCTGGTGCTGTTGTTAAATTTAATCAGCAATATTCGGCAAAAACAACTCGAATTCCTTGTGGTTTACATGCATTACATATAGCTTCAGTACATTTTAACGATACAACGTTTGGAAAAACTAAATCTTTTTCAGGAATTTGCTTTGAGCCACATCCGTTCAATGTTCTTAATTTGGCTTATTATCTTCACTGTGGGTATAACAAATCTGATAAAGACAATCCATTAAATATGAAAGCAGAAAAGATTAGCGAATTATATAAAGCGTTACTTAATTATGATCTTAAGAGATATCAAAAACCTATCTCAACCCGTTGGTTATACCAATTAACTATGGCAAAACAGTATTTAAATCGAAGAGATATTCATTTACAATTTTCTAATTGGTTTATTAATCAACTAGAAAAAGCAAACAAAATTCCTGAAAGCTATTTAAAAAAATAAAAAATGTTTTATAATTTTTTGCAAAATGATAAACTAAATATAGAGATTCAAATAATGGTTAGTTTTGGTGAATGGTTTTATGAAAAAGTTATGTTCTTTTTAATTGGTAAGAATACAAATACTACAAATCTTTCAAACGGATTTGGAGCAAGCAAAATGCCAGATAAGGTTGAACAATAGATTAATGATTTGCAAATAGCATCTGAACATCCTGACGAAGTCTTTGTAGAAAAGATGTTACTAGCTCATGAAACTTTATCTACAGATGAGTTTAATGATTTAATTAATAGAATTGAATACAGATTAGTAAAAGCATTAGATGCATTTAAATGGTGGATGGATCCATGGACACATTTACCTCTTTCTATATGCCAGCTTGGAGGAATTCATGGCCCCGATTTTGCAGTTGCAATTATTAAGGTCATACTAAACACTTATATTTCAGAAAATATCACTAAAATACAGAAAAAGTATATAAATGAATTAGTAAATGATATAAAAAATAAGAAACAAGAATCTTTTAGATTATTTGAAGCATTCAAAGATAATAATTTTCAAGAACAATTTTTGACCTTTTCACAATTTACCTACGCTGAATTACCTAACTACCCATTAATACATGATTTTATTAAGTATCAAATTTGGCCCATAATTGTTCATCAGCAACATCTCGAAGGTATGTTCAACAAATATGATCTCAAAACACATCCCAATATGTCTATTAACCTACAAGAATCAAGAATGCAACTATC